ATTGAGGGATAAAGACATGAAATTACATTTAGGTTAAAATCAATTAGCGATTTGGGGTCGAAGAATCTGCTCAAATTGGTGTTGAAACTAAGTTCGTGATTCGTTAAAGGTACAATTTCAAGAGCGTTGGTCAGGTAAGTGTTGTTAACCTGATGTTATTGTTCTTGGTTTTGGGTGTTAGGGTTTAATTTCGTGTTGAAATGATTAATTTTCTACAATTTATTATTTGCTTTCATTAAGAATGTTTTTCGTGTTGAATTGGTGAAATTTGTAATTGTTTGTAATGTGTTGTCGGTTTGTGTTTAAATATGATTATATTTGTCGCATTTTGGGGGGCTTAAGTATGGAAAAAGTTCTTGCATTTTAGGGGTTGATATTGGTCCCATAGGTGTTACTTTAAGTTAATTTAGTTGTCCCCATTTCCATTTGCAGGGTAGGGATTGAGATGTCTGAGGAAATGTTTGAGGTAGTGGTCCACCACGGTGGGACCTTGATAAAAGAAGTGTCTTTTAAGTATATAGATGGGGAGATAGTTTATTGCGACATTGACTCCGATAAATGAAGTTTTTTCGAAGTACTAGATTCCCTTAAAGATTTGGGGTATGTTGAAGTACAAGAGTTATATTACAGTATACAACATGTTTTACATAAGCTGTATGACGATAGAGGAGCTATGAATATGATAAGGTGACATAAAATGTTGAATATGAGAGTAGTCAATGAAGAAACATATAAATACCTCATAGTCGTTCCCTCGAGGTACATTGTTTTCCTTACATGCACATTTGAATCGCTCATATATGGTAACCCATTTTCTTCATTTTTGTGCAATAGGTATTGGTCAAAATAATAATACTTAAGACTAACTAAAAAATATTTTACATTTTTTATATCAATTTTAAATAAATTTATCAATTTTTAATAAATTAAATAAATTCATACAAATAATTTAAATAAAAATTAAAAAAAACTATAAAAACCATGTATCAGATATCTATATGCAAAAAGAAAGCATCGGATATCAAAATTCGATGCTTAGTTTGTAAATATTTTGTTTTATAATTTAATTTTGGTTTAATCCTTTTCGACATCCCTATTTATGTACGAATGTCTCAATTGGGTCCTCGTTTTTTAAAGTGTATTAAAATGGTCCTTAATTTTGAAAATTGATATCAATTGAGTCCTTTCCGTTAAGTTGGCTGGACGGCGTTAAAAAAATTGATGAGTGGATGCTGAGATGACGAACGAAAGCTCGTCCACCAGCGAACGAACGCTCGTCACCAGCGAACGAACGCTCGTCCACCAGAGAACGAACGCTCGTCGACCTCTTACTGCTGGACGACCGTTCGTTCCACACTGGACGACCGTTCGTTCGGTGGTCGACGAGTGTTCGTTCGCTGATGGACGAGCGTTCGTTCGCTGGTGGACGAGCGTTCGTTCGTCATCTCAGCATCCACTCATCAATTTTTTTAACGCCGTCCAGCCAACTTAACGGAAAGGACTCAATTGATATCAATTTTCAAAATTAAGGACCATTTTGATACACTTTAGAAAACGAGGACCCATCTGAGACATTCGTACATAAATAGGGATGTCGAAAAGGATTAAACCTTTAATTTTTTTATACTTTTCTTAATCAATTTAAAACTACTTAAAATATTATCTAATTTTTTCATATCAATTTTAAATATTATTTATTTTTAATAAATTAAAATATGTCATATAATTTACTTTATAAAAAATTAAAAAAAACTGTGTAAAAAATATATGGGATATCGGTATCCGAAAGAGAAGCATTGGTTTAATACCCAATTTTGTCCCCAGTTTGGTTGGCAAATCTCAATTTAGTCCCTCGTTACAAAAGTGTTTGAAATAGGTTCTTACTTTTAAATTTTTGATTCAAATTAGTCATTTCTGTTAAATATAACCAAACGGAGTTAATGGGATGATGATGTGGCAGAATGCAATGATAACGTGTTATTCTTATATTATATGCACAGTGACGTGTTAGAAGTTAAACTGGATATTAAAGATTAAGTATTTGAAATTGGAGAAAAATCGATTTAGGGCATTTTCTTTTCTATTAATCACATATGTCTCCCCCACCTCCACAAATTCCAAACTCATTCATCACTCCACATACAAATACTTCATCACCTCCGTTCACCCAAACCCCAAACTCACAGAGCACCTCCATAGCCACCAATCAAAGCTGCAAACTGCCCATAGTGTCGGGGAATAAAGCTCATAGCTTTGGAGAACTTCACTTCCTTCGCTATCATAGAGGCGCTGGGGAGTGCCGTCACCAACAAGTACTCCGAGGGTATGCCAGGCAACCGCTACTACGGTGGCAACGAGTTCATCGATCAGATTGAGAACCTGTGCCGTTCCCGCGCCCTCGAGGCCTTCCATCTCGATCCATCCTGGTGGGGCATCAACGTCCAACCCAACTCTGGTTCTCCGGCCAACTTCGCCACCTACACTGCACTGCTCCAGCCCCACGACCGCATCATGGGTTTGGATCTCCCCTCCGGCGGCCACCTCACCCACGGCTACTACACTTTCGGTGGGAAGAAGATCTGTCTAGGTTGAAAGTTGAAAGGGAAAGTTGAAAGAGAAGGTTCAAAATTTTTCTAGGTTTGGATTTAGGGGAAGCTGAAAGAGAAGGTTCCCAAATTGGGAAGTGAATCAAAGACAAAATTTGGTTGCCCCATCTTCCCAGGACAAATTCAGTGAACGTCATGTAAGCGGGGGCGAACGGAGGCAGAGGTAAAAAGGTAGTGGGTGGTGGCTGCAGTGTGATGAAAGTGGGGCGAACGGAGTAACAGACAATATAATTTTTCACAATTTAAAAATGACAATATCCAGCTCAACCTTTGACAACTTAACATGTCAACGCATACAATATAAAAATAATATAAAAATGACACGTTACCACTGCATTATGCCAGATAATCACTCTCTTAACTCCGTTTGATTATATTTAACGGAAGGGACTAATTTGACTCAAAAATTTAAAAGTAAGAACCTATTTCAAACACTTTTGTAACGAGGGATTAAATTGAGATTTGCCAACGAAACTGGGAAACAAAATTGGGTATTAAACCAAAAAATTAAAAGGAAAAAACAATGAGATTTCTTTAACGGTATCTTCCCGAAGGGAGTTCTTGGTACTGTCACTCTGCAGCATCATGCTAGATCCCTAATCCCAATCAATCCGAGAGAAAAATGGTAAAGTCAGTCAAATTTAAGAATAAAAGGTTGTGCATGAGTGGAGTATTCAATTAAATCACCCAAAACCCTGATTGAAACGTAAATTGATCGAAAAAAGCAAAAGGTCATGACAAATCGTGAAGTTAGAAGGGCGACTGTCTTACTTGTTGTTGCGACGCGGTAAATCGTGAATCTCTGATTCTAGCATGGAGGATTTTGCAGAGAACTAAAAGCTACAAGAACGAAATAGAGCTATCTTGGTGGCGAAGGAAATCTGTTTTTTATGAGACGCCAACGACATTTTTCCCGATGGGAGGAGGAGAGAGGAGGTTTGGTGGTGAAGGGAGGGAGAAAAAAACTAGTCTGACGTGGGATAAAAAGAAGCGGAGGTGGCAATCATTGCAAAGAAAGAGAGTTTCTAAGTTTCCAGCGTGATCAGACATTAGCCACCTCACTTGATTTTTAAAGCCGTTTGTTTTGGAGGACGGAAAATTATGTTTTTCTTAAAAAGAATGATCAAAATATACCAAAATTTCAAAGAGGGACAAAAAACAGAATAAAAAACTAAAAATATATTTAACCCTTAATTACAAGATAAATCTGGAACTTGGAAGTGATGGATGAAACCCTTGAATATGTACGGTGAAACACGTTATTGTATGAATCCCCTCACTCTCATAAAAAATAAAAAATTTCATTTTTCACTTTTCATATTACACCATCTGAAATATTTGGTTTCATTCTATAATATCGGTGTCATTTTTTAAATCCAATATTCCAAATCCAATATTCTTTTTTTTTCAAATTTCGGTGAATATTTATTTCGAATTTCGAATTTCACATTTCATTAATTTTTTATTTTTTTTTAATTTTTTAATGTATTTTACTTGTTTTAATAAATTATATGTTAAAATATTAACATATATGATATTATATTAAAATAATTAAATATTTAATAAATTTTATTTTAATTTTTATTAATTAAAATTAATCAAAATAAAAAATTTAATTTTATGTTAATTCAAATGAATATTTAAAAGAAAAATTATACTAATTAAAATATTTATTAAATTTTAATCTAAAACAAAATTTAAAATGTTAAGCAGATTTTCAAATCCAATTGTTAACATACACTAAATTATATTAAAATATTAAATTAAACTAATTAAAATATTTAATAAATTTATTTAAATTTGTGTTAAATTAAAATTGATTCAAATAAAATAAATTTTACTTTTATGTTAGTTTAAATTATTATATTAAAAAATTATACCAATTAAAATATTTATTAAATTTTAATTTAACATATGTTAGCCAGATTTTAAAATCGTTAACATATTTATTTAAATTAAAATTTAAAAAATATTTTAATTAGTATAATTTTCTTTTAATATTTGATAATAAAGTGAACATGTTAAATTTATTTTGAAAAAAATGTAAAACTTAAAACAGTACATTGTTTGTAACTGAGAAGGGAAGTCCAGTACAGAAGTAATAAAACAGCATTGAATAAAAATTTGAAAAACGGAAATTGCTGTTGCCTCGAAAATGATAACACCACGGCAACTAGGCGCGTGGTGAAAACAGACACTCCATTGCATCTCTCGTAGAGTCACACACCCACTTCAATCATTCTTCTCTACCCTCCAAAAGGAACGTATGATACACTCTCTGTAATCACGCGTGAGTCCAACATTCTCCATCTCTCTCAAGAAGCTTTATTGAACAAACATCGCTTTACACTATTAGGCCGCGAATCAGCAAAAGCATTCACTTTGTTCACACTTTTTTCACTGCACCTTCTCTCTCTCTCACTCTCTCTCTCACTCTCTCTCACTCTCTCACTCTCTCTCAACTCAGCTACACACACAAACCCATTTTGGCAGAGGGAAGACCTTCGCTGCAGCTAGAGATGGCAGAGGGAAGAGGGTCCACTCTGGTCCACCTTTTGGTCGTCGTGTTGAGTTTGGTTGCGTTTGGCTTCGCCATTGCCGCAGAGAGAAGACGAAGCGTCGTAAGCCACTGTTTTTTCTCTCTCCCACACATGCACTCACATTTTAGTTTTTTTCTTTTTCTTTTTGCTTTTGTTCGCTTTTAGTTGCCTTCCCCCTAGTCTATTAGTGTTTCCAGGCGAAGATAATTGTGTCGTAGCTTCACAATTTGACATAGATCTATGTCGAAATTTATGACTGAGTTTTGTAGTTGCCTTCCCTGGGATCTTTTCGCTAAGCTTTTCGATAACCACATATAAAGAATATGAAAACGATGAAATGAACCGAGTTTTAATGAATTCCGCCTATCTTTGTAAATGAAACTAATGCATTTACTCTTTCTTCCGCTGTATTGGATACAGGAAAAAAAAATATAAACAAATCTCTAAAGTATTATTGATTTAATTGAAGTTTTATTTTTAGTACTCTATTTTTATATTAAATTTCAATGAAGAGTAATTTAAATGTTTTTTAATTAAATGTTAAGCACTATCTTTCTTTATTAATGTATTTTTTTTCTTACATTAAAGAGTAACTTTTATAGATGATGTGCTGAAGTTCATTTAGATTACCAGAAAATTATTTTACCTCCTTTTTTTTTTCTATTTCAGCAAGTCCTTAGATGGAACCTTATTTAGAGCTTATTGAGTTTAGGGTTTGGGCCTTGTGGGTATGTATGTCTCTAAAACCGTGAAAATTTTGAAACTTAGATAATACTAACTTTAACCTTTCTGTAAACAAATCTTCTGGAAACTGTTTTCCAACATTATTAAGTCACCGGAAGATGGAAATAATGGTTATATTTATTGTGTTACCGAAATAGTAAAAATGTTAAGAATTTGATTAGCAGATATATAAGTATTTTGTAACAATTTCTTTATTTTCCCAAAACTTTAGTAATAGAAGAAATGCAGAGCATGTTGATCCATGTATATTTCTGTAAGGTGTACACTAATGAAAACCATTCTCAAATTCTAGGGATTTAATAAATTATTTGGTGAAATTTATCAACTCAGTAGACTGTATTAACAATATATTCAGGATGAGTTCTTTAATAATAAATTATAAATTTCTTGGCTGATGATTGTAAACTCAGACAAAACCAAAATTTGCATTGTCATCTTTTGGTGTGCTAATGCACACAGTGAAGTTTACATGACTTTTAACAAGAGAGAGAAGCTGGACCTTCTGTATAGTCAATGGAGTTACACACCGTTCTCTGTGTTAATAAAAAATACCGAGTAGAGACATCTTATTTGAACAAGACATTTAGAATGAAGAGAAATGAAAGGTTATGTATGATATGTAATTAGTGGTGGGATAGAGAGAGGAAAAAAAGTACTTCTTTATAAATTGTTGTACAAAGAACACAGCACTGGAGCATATTATTTATTCATCATCTTTCAACTCAATGTTTCTCTCTCTTATACTTTAGAATGGTATCAGAGTCATTCAGACCCTATACTAATTAATTTGTTAGGTCTCACCAGCGGTTGGGTTTTCATTTAGTTCCACACTCCATATGTCATTCTTTGACTAGAAAGGTGATATGGATAAGTGGCATCTCTTCCTGAATGACCGCCAGTGCAACCAATCAAGTATTTCCCTTCTTAACTCAAATTTTCTACCAATGATCAGCTTCCCTTTCCTCCCCTTAATTCTCCACTGGCAAGATAAATCCTTATATGAAGAAGGATATTTCGTCAATTCAGCAATCAGCCGTTGTAAAGCATCATCATTCTGCCATGATGCTTTGATTTTCCATAGTAGATCAGAATCTGGTTGGTGTGTGGAAATTGAAGCACATTCAACCCTTGAAAGTGCATCAGCAGCTTGGTTCTCAATTCAAATGAAGTCATTCGATGAGTTTTACCAACCATTTTTGTTGGAAGGCTGTGGAAAGTCTCTGATCCAGAATATACTTGAGACTTCGGTGATCAGTTTTGATTACAAACTGCATAGGTAACAAGTCATGCTTCCACTTTTGTACTGCATACACCACTACTAGTAATTCCTTCTCATAAGTTGACAATGATTGTTGTTGAACATTCAAGCCTCGACTGATAAAAGCTATAGGATGATGATCTTGCATAAGAACAGCTCCTACCCCGACTCCTGAAGCATCCACCTCTACTACAAAAGTCTTCGTAAAGGCCAATACACACGCTTGGCTTAACTAATCCTTAAGACATTGAAATGCCAATTTAGCTTCATTTGACCGAGAAAAACTGTCTTTTCTTAACGTGTCATTCATTTGTTTTGGCTATGGTGCTGTATCTTCGCACAAACTGACTATAATAGCCCGTCAAAGCCAAAATCCTCCCAGTTGCTTGAGGGTTTGAGGAAGTGGCCAATTTCTCACTGCTTCTACCTTAGCGGAGTCAGTAGAGACTCCTTTGCCCGTGATAAAATGCCCCTAGTACTCTACTCTAGTAACACTTAGATTTCTTGGCTACCAAAGCATTAGCGCGCATGGTAGACAAGATTGTGTGTAAATGATGCAAATGATCCTCCATGCTTTTGCTGTAAATCAGAAAGTCATAAAACGAGACCATTAAGATCTTTGTCAAATACTCTTGAAACATGGAGTTCATTAAACCCTGAAATGTGGCAGGATCAATGGTTAAGCGAAAAGGCATGGTATTCATAATGCCTGACATGTGTTTTGAAGGCTGTTTTATGTATGTCTGTCTTTGCCATTCTGACTTGATTATAATCTGACCGTAAGTCAATTTTGGAGAATACACTAGAGCCATATAGCTCATCCAATAGATCATCAACCAAGGGTATAGGGAACCTGTTCTTTACGGTACTCTTGTTGAGGTCCCTGTAATCAATGTAAAGCCTCCAGCTTCCATCCTTTTTAACGACCAACACCACTGGACTGCTATAGGGGCTACTGCTGTTCAAATAACCCCACTTTTTAAGTAATCTTGTACCAATTCATCTATTATGTCCTTTTATTGCTTAGAATACTGATAAAGTCTCTTATTCATAGGGTTAGTTCCTTGCATCAAAGGAATAGTGTGATCATGATCCGGCCTTCTAGGTGGTGAGGTAGTGGGGACTGCAAACACATCTTCATATTGAAGTAGCAACTGGTCAATACTGTTAGGAATTGTGGCAGATGTAGCATGGGTGGACAGGGAATGCAACAACAAGCCTTCTTCATCCTTACATATTTGCAAAATAGAAAGGTGAACTACTGCAGCCACAGTCTTAGGTATATGCGGCTTACGAATTGTTTTGATATTTGTAGAAGAATTGCCACGCAAAACATGTCTTCTTCTTTGAGCAGTGAACTCCATGGTTAACTTGTCAAAATTCCATGTGATATCCCCAAATGTAATCTGCCATTCTATCCCAAGAACCATATCACAACAGCCTAGAAGACATGTTATTGTATAAGCCTAGAAAACCCTTTGATTATAGTATTAATCTGTACTCTTTCCTCATCAGCCACAGTGACACTAACAGGATCTATTTTGTCAATCTAGTACCCTAATTTCTGGACTACATCAATATCCAAGAAATTATGGGTACTCCCACTAACAATGAGAATGTGCAGCGACTTCTTCCTTACATGACTGTAACCCGCATGGTCCAAAACTTGGCTACCCCTGTCAAAGCACTGACATAAATCATTGGTTTCGAAATAGGTGAATCAGGAGGGGTTGCACTAGATTTGGGGGCTTGATCAGAGTCAGAATTGTGAGCTATTTCCATGAAATGGATTTGTAGTTTCTTGTGGGTTTGGCTATGGGCAAGGGTAAAGGGTTCATCACAAAAGTAACAGAGACCTTTAGCCCTCCTTTCACTCATATAGGAAGGGGTTAGCTGTTTAGTGAATTTTCCAAGGATGTGGAAGGGGTTAACAAGAGCGGCTTTGCAATTGGGTGGAATTTGAGGTTTTTGGACAATGGTTTGGCGTGCATGGCATTGGCATTTTCATACATCCTGGCCAAGGAAAAAGCTTTCATAACAAAGGTGGGTTGGAACATTCTCACCATCATTTGAATTTCCGTTTGTAGACCAACAAGTAAACAAGTCTATTGATGGGTTTCAGATAAGTCAAGTCTTGAAACAATAGCATCAAATGCAGTATGGTAGTCGGTAGCATTGCCTTTCTGTTGCAGGCGCATCAGTTCTACCATTGGTTCCTGGCAAACTTCTCCAAATCTTTCAATCAAGATTTGTGTATAGGCATTCCAAGAAGGCAAACAAATGTTCTAGTTACTTCATTCATTATGATTCAGTTTAACAAGAATACAAGCAAATGTTCTAGTTACTTCATTCACTATGTCACAATACTGTATTTAAGCCTACTTATAGCTGTGTATTCCATAATAAGATGATTGGGAATTCTACAGCTTATCCTATTGTTCATGTGATTCAAATATTCTTCTGATAAGAGTTATCTTTTCCCAGTTACAACCACAACACCTAAAGGGTTCATTTGCTTTTTCTCTGCCTCTTGGCTAGTAGTACAACGCCAAAATAATTGTGTTGGGAATGATATGACATAAACTCTTTATATTGTCTGTTCTCAAGAGTTTTTAAAGGAGCATACCTTAATTGTGTGACTGAGCTTGAGTCTGAGTTTGAGTTGGATTGCATATAATTGATGAGAAAATTGCTTATCATGCATTCTTTCCAGATTGATAGCCACCTCTAAATGCCTTGACTTGAACATGTTATTTTCGTCAATAGTCTTATCTTAAAGATCCCTATCATACATAGAGCCTTTTTTGTCATTGAAGAATTTTGTTTGTCAATCTTGCTAGTTCTTGGTATTTAATTCTAGTGACCTGTTTTTTTTTTTTTTTTTTTTTTTAAATTTTATTTGGGAAGGTCCTTTTCCTAATCCCCATAATCAGTGCAACTGATCCTGGAAAACAACTCACTTTTAAACGCTTGCCGCAGTTCTTGTTAAACTATAAAATAACGCTTTTGTAGAGCATATCCAGCTCTGTAATTCAGAGTCATGGTGAATTTATCACCCTAGAAAGCTCTGCCACACTTGCATAATCGAAAGTCTAGACATAGTTGTTGCTGCATTTACCTCTACTACCCTTCAGTTAAGTTTTTGCAATCATTGTTTGCCTTAAATAAGTTGTACTGTATCTATTTTGTTTCTAATGTTATTGTTAATTTGCATTGACAAGGCTGGCCCTTTTTTTTTTGCTCGTCAGGGAACCATGTTCAAAATTGAGAAAACAAATGAAACATATTGCAGCTACAGTTCAGATGTTGCGACTGGTTATGGAGTGGGTGCTTTCCTGTTTCTTCTTTCAGGTGAATCACTGCTAATGGGAGTGACAAAGTGCATGTGCTTTGGGAGGCCCTTAACACCTGGTGGAAATAGAGCGTGGTCCATTATATATTTTCTTTCCTCTTGGTATGAATTCTAAATTCTTACACAACAATTTGTTATGCATCATCAAAGAAGCTAGATGTTGTGTACGAATGATATATGATTCAAATGTATGCTTCTGTTATTCAAGTGAAAAGTCTCTTGGAAATTTTATTATATGCCTCATCTCTTATGATTTGACTGTTTTAACCCATAATGTGATTTTTTACTTTGCAAGCAACCAACTTAAAAATATCATTTTTCTCTGCAGTATGTGATTTTTGTCGTTACTCGTATTAAGACCTGGTCCCAACAAGTTACAAAATATGACTCATTGAATAAAGATCACTTTTTTTATGTATTCCCAGGATTACTTTTCTGGTGGCAGAAGCGTGTTTGATAGCAGGTGCAACCAAGAATGCCTACCATACCAAATACCGTGGAATGATTCTTGCTCAGAACTTCTCGTGTGAAGCCTTGCGAAAAGGTGTTTTTGTTGCTGGCGCAGTTTTCATTGTTGCAACCATGATTCTGAACGTATACTACTACATGTACTTCACAAAGGCAACTACCACACCAGTTTCTCACAAGGCAAATCGGGTGAGCTCAACAGTTGGAATGGCAGGATATGCATGATAACAAATTTAGTCTTAATTTCAATGGATGTCTCGATGATTATCACTAAAACGGTGGTTTTCATTTGGTTTTTCCTAGTTAATCGATGTTTATAATGTTCATGTGGATGTTACTGGTCAGAAGCAAGCTATATATATTATAATTAGGTAAAGAGGGTCTCATCATGTTGGTTTTCAGATAAACTTGATATTCAAAGTGTGTAAAATGTTTTTGAGGCTATCTTTCCCTCTAAATGGAACTGGAATTTTTGAAAGCCAGTTTAAAGATGAAGATGAGCTAGTTGGAGGCTTCAAATTGTTAGTCAAATTTACTTAGGAAAGTCTTTCGATGAAAGAAAGATTAATGACGATAAAAATATCTGTTTTACTTAATCGTTTCTTTTGTATTTATTATTATTACTTATTATGCCCATTTATGTAGAAATATTTTTTTTAGTTAACTAATTAACTTTTTTTCTTTTAAGCAAATGTTCCAAATGTTATGATAATAATTTACTAAAATCAACAAAACCGAAAGTAAAATAAAGTCATAAGGGGAAATTTTAGTTACATTTTTAATAGACCAAAATGAATTAATTTTTATTATCCAATCCATTATAATTAAAAATAAAATGTATTTCGTTCATTCAGTTAGTCATCTTTACTCAATATTTATTACAACTCATTGAGTTATATATAGTGAGAGGACCAATTCATTAAAGGAAATTCATGACAAGGAAAAAAGAAGAATATTCACACAGCCCATTATCAGAAAGAAAAGCTACAATCAATTTTCTTTTTTTTAAAAAATACAGTCAGTCTTTTCAGCCTAATAATAGTCATTCCGTGTCACCCTCTCATTTTTCATGTCGTTTTGTCGTTTCATCATGCATCTCCAAGGTTTTTTTTTTTCATCTTTAATTTTTCTTAAAAAACGTATTATGTTCTATTAAAAAAACACCTAACAAATTTTAGAATCTGAAATCCAATTGAATCTTTGTTTGATTTCAAAATCCGTTAATATATGATAATGGATTTCAAAATTTATTTAACAACTTTTTTAATTTTTTAATTTAAAAATTAGTAAATATTTTATTTAATTTAACATTTTTATATAATTTAACATATTTAAAAATATAGAATAGATTTTATATTATTATTAATATTGTCTTATATTTATTTTTATTATTATTACTTTTATTTTAATTATTTTTTTATATTTTTATTCTTTAATATAATTATTATAACCATAAAAATAATATTTAAAATAAATTTGTTAATGGATTTAAAAATCCGTTAACATATTTTAATGATTTCGAATCCGTTTAACAAACTTTTTAAATTTCTTTTAAATTTTAAATTTAATTTAATTTATAATTTTAATATTATTTAATATATATTTATATTTCAATAATTATTAAAATATAATTATTATTTTTATTACAATGGTAATATTATAAAAAAAATAAAAATAAAAATAAAAATAATAAAATTAAAGAGAAAACAAAAATAATAATAATAAAAAGAAAAATAATAATGTAAAATTTGATTTAACATATTTAAATATATTAAATTATATTAAAATATTAAATTAAATTAAATATTTCTTAAATTTTAAATAATTTTTTTAAAAAAAGTTTTAAACAGATTTCGAAATCAATTTAATTTTTTTTTAAAATTTAAAATTTGATAATAATCTAGTTTAAGTTAAAGTTTTGATATTATTTAATATATATTTATATTTTAATAATTTTTAAAATATAATTTTTATTACTATAATAGTAATATTATAAAAATAAAAATAAAAATAATTAAAATAAAAATAGTAATAATAAAAATTAAGAAAAACAAAAATAATAAAGATAAAAAAAAATAATTATATAACATATGATTTAATATATTAAAATATATTACAATATTAAATTAAATATAATATTTATTAATTTTTAAATTAGAAAGAAATTAACAAATATGTTAAACGAATTTCAAAATTTGTTATTATATATTAATGGATTTCGAAATAAATTTTATTAGATTTTGAAATTTGACAAAATATTTATCAGATTTTGAAATTAGACGAACAACTAATCAAATTCCGAAAGTCGATGAAGATGTATTGACTTTCAAAATCTAACGAAGATCTAACTAGATTTTAAAATTTAGGACTAATAATAGAGCTGTCAAAGCGGATAACCCGGTCCGACCCAACCCGACCCACCACGGGTTGGTCACTTAGTAGACCAATCCATCTTGGCTCATTTATTAAAAAACTGAAAAAATTTGAATCCAACCCGACCCACCACGAGTTGGTGGACTAAACGGGTTGGCTCATTGGCTCACTTAATTAACTTTTTTTTCACCCTCTTCTTCTCAGATTCTTATAACATGTTACTTTGATCGATCAAATTGAAACAATAATAATTGGACAAATTGATATAAAAGAAAATGAAAAAAAAGAAATATAATGTTATATATATTCTAAGCTATCAAGCATAAAATTTTGCCAATTTAGTTTAATGAGACATACACAACTGTTTGACCAAGAAACTACATATAGCCGTTAACAAAAATATATAGCACAAGATAAAACTGTCATGCTTGTAGATAGGTCTAAAAATAAGATAAAACAAATGATATATTCCTGAATTATCCATCTATTAAATTGAGTATTATGCTCTCTTGAAGCATCTTCTTCTTTATCTCCATTTATAATATTATCCAATCTATAATCTTAGGGTTTTATTTCCTAGGGGAACTTTTGGAAAGACAGCAACGCGAAAGACTCTATTGCTAAGTAAAGGTTGTGCATTTTGAATAATTAATTTAATTAATTTGATTTCAATAAAAAAATAGGATTTGAATAATTAGTTTAAGGCTTAATTACCTACTTAGTCCCCATGTTCGGAGGTAATTTGCTGTTTAGTACCCGGTTTTAAAAATGTAGCCATTTGATACCTATGTTTTGAAATTTGTATCAATTGAATCCTACCCACTTAACGCCGTTATAAATCTAACGTTTTTCTGACATCAACTTTGAATTGTGGACGAGCGGTAGTGGACGAGCGTCCGAGCATCGTTGGACGAGCGTCCTCTTCTGTTGGACGAGCGTCCTCCTCTGTTTGGACGAGCGTCCTCCACTGTTGGACGAGCGTCCGCCACTGTTGGATGAGCGTCCTCCTCTGTTTGGACGAGCGTCCTCCTCTGTTTGGACGAGCGTCCTCCACTGTTGGACGAGCGTCCTCCACTGTTGGACGAGCGTCCTCCTCTGTTTGGCGAGCGTCCTCCACTGTTGGACGAGCGTCCTCCTCTGTTTGGACGAGCGTCCTCCGGTGTTGGACGAGCGTCCTCCTCTGTTGGGACGATCGTCCACAACCGCTCGTCCACAATTCAAAGTTGATGTCAGAAAAACGTTAGATTTATAACGGCGTTAAGTGGGTAGGATTCAATTGATACAAATTTCAAAACATAGGTATCAAATGCCTACATTTTTAAAACCGGGTACTAAACAGCAAATTACCTCCGAACATGGGGACTAAGTAGGTAATTAAGCCTTAGTTTAATTAAAAAGAAATAGGTAGGTTGGTGAGCCAACCCGACCCACCACGGGTTCAACCCGTGTGAGCCGGGTTCTTAATGAGCCGGGTCAAAATTGGCTCGCATAAAAAAATTTGCATTTTTTTCCAACGCAACCCGACTCAAACCCGTGATGAGCCGGGTTGGCTAACGGGTTTCAACCCATTTTGATGGCACTAATTAATAGTCTATTTTTTCCCCAGTTTTGTTGAATAATGTCAATTCAGTCCCTCGTTTTAAAAGTGTTTGAAAATGGTCCTCACTTATTAAATTTTGAGTCCAAATCATTCATTCCGTTAAATAGAAACAAACAGAGTTAAGGGATTGATTATCTGGTAGAATGCAATGGTAACATGTCATTTTTATATTGTATGCGTGGTGACGTGTTACGTTGTCAGAGGTTGAGCTGGATATTAAAGATAGGGTTTTTTTAATTGGGAAAAAATTGATTTAGGGCATTTTGCATTTGTGCGAGAGAAGAGAGAATCGTTATTGTCTCTTACTCACCTTTCCAAATACGTCATCGTTCGCCCCCTCTTTCATCGCACTACAGCCACCACCCATTATCGTTTCGCCTCTGCCTCCGTCGCCAATCCAGATTGCACCAAGATTTCATGCCCACACCCTCACTCCTCAACCATGTAGGAAGAAGAAGATGAAGACTCGGGGAAGGACTATGGAACTGTGTAAGAAGAAGATAAAGCATGAGGATGGAGCTGGTGCGAGAGGAGGTGGAGGGCGGAGGGGGATGGGATCAGTGGGTGAAGATGGGGACGAATTAAGTGACTTTTTTTCAAAAAAGGTCACAATAATTTTGCTCAATTTTTAACTGGTCTTTTTATTGTTCATTCAACGCATGAAAATTGAATAAAATTACATGACGTTCACTGAATCTGTCCCGGGAAGATGGGGTGGCCGAATCTTGTCTTTGATTCACTTCCCAATTTAGGAACCTTCTCTTTCAGCTTTCCCTTCCAAATCCAAACTTATAAAAATTCGGAACCTTCTCTTTCAACTTTCCCTTCCAAATTGAAACCTAGAAACATTTGTCTTTGATTGGTGGCTGTGGAGGTGCTGCATGGGGCTGGGTTTGGGTGAATGGAGGTGATGAAATGTGTGTGCTATTGGTGATCGTGGATGGTTCAAGAAGAGAGGTGAAGAGATTTTTGTGTGTGGAATTGGGCTGCAACTTTCCCTTCCAAATCCAAACCTAGAAAAAATTGTCTTTGATTGGTAGCTGTGGAGGTGCTGTGTGGGTTTGGGGTTTGGGGTTTGGGTGAATGGAGGTGATGAAGTATTTGTGTGCTATTGGGGAGCGTGGATGGTTTAGGAAGTGAGGAGAAGGGATTTTTATGTGTGGAGTTGTGCAATGTGTGTGGAGTGATGAATGGTGCTGGATTTCTGTAGGTGGGGGAGACGTGTGTGATTAGCATAAATGAAAACGTCCTAAATCGATTTTTCCTCAATTTCAAATACTCAATCTTTAATATCCAGCTTAACCTCTAACTATGTAACACATCACCACGCATACAATATAAAGATGACACGTTACCACTGCATTCTGCCAGATAATGAATTCCTTAACTTTGTTTTTATTTAATGGAGTGGACAATTTTGACGCAAAATTTAATAAGTGAGGACCAATTTCAAACACTTTTAAAACAAGGGACTGAATTGATATTATTCAACAAAATTGAGGACAAAAT